GCCGTTGGCGCGCTCGTTGGCGCGGCCGTTGAGCGGCGCGTGACTGCCCCGTCTGAGGGGGCCAAATAACCTTTCCTCCCATTTCAGCGCCCAGCCACCCGCGCGCCCTTGGAGCGGGCAGTGGCGACCGAGTATTAGTCGCGGAGAGGGCGTGTGGTGGCTGCCCGTTTAAACGCCGTGTTCATAGGGAGAGGCTGTTGTTGCTGGTGTCTTCAAAGATGCAGCTGCACGTGGCGAACGCGGCTCCGCGGTGGATAATTAGGTGAATTATTCACCTGCGTGCTTCAGCGGGTGGAGCTGAACTAAGGACTGCTGCTAATCCAAAAGAAAACTCCAACTAGTTAAAAGTAAAACAAAGAGATCACCTCCACAAACAAATATTTTATTTTCGCTCAACATCAAAAGCAGAAAAGAAAATCCCAAACTGAAGCTCCCTTTGGAATTGTGCATGTGTTTGTGCATGTATGTGTGTAGAACAAGACCCCAAGAAATCTGTATCATTAAGGGACATTGGCAACTGCCAGACCCTCTGACAGGGTTGCTGTGGAAGGGACCTGGAGAGCCCTGCTCATCCAGCCCCTTCTCCCAGGGAGGATCCACCATATCAAATCCAGTCCCAACAGCTGCTTGTCTGATCTGTTTAAGAACCGCTCATGACAGACAGTTTTTTCACACCACCCCTGGGCAATCTACCCAGGCACTTTGATATCCTCACTGCTGGGGACGCAAACCAAGATCTCCACAGCCTGTAGTTTCAACTAATTTTCCTGTTCCTAGTAGATAATAAATAAAAGATGGAATCCCTGAAGAGTATATAAAATGATGATGCAACTTCCACGTATTTCTTCTGTCTTCCACAATTTCAGATTATCCATTCTTTGGAGGATCTAAATTTGATCACCAATAGGTGATCAGATCAGCATCAGGGGCTGTGATCACCCTTTCCTCACAGGTCACTTTACAGACACGTCCTCCAGTTGTTCTCTGGACTTGCTCCAGCTGGTTTACATTGTTCTTGATACCTCTTGCCCACTGCTAGGCCTCATATTCACATTACTAGTGCTTCGGAAGATTGCAAATGCAATGTGATGTGCCTCAGGATTTATCCTTGGTGTTATATTCGCCCCAAACATTTGCCTTTCTTGCAAGTGTCACACTGTTAATGCACATTTCATGCATGTCTTTGCAATCTGTTCCACCTCAGAGGCTTTTGCAAATCACTGCTCCCTTGCTCGTCTTTCCCTGTTTTGGACTTGTGCCAAAGAGTAATGCAAACGTACCTCAAATGTACTTCCTAAATACTATTTAAACATATAATTGCAACAAGATTTGTCCAAGTGATGCTCAGCTCCAAACATCAGCTCAGCACTGCATGGGTAGTGCTCATCAGAGGTTTGCAGGTCCCTACCATCAGCTGTGTCCATGAAAGAAGTCAGTCTAAGGACAAACACAGACTGGGGAAGGGAAGGATGAAGAAGAGTTCTAGGTTTAATCCAGATCACTGTGTTGCTCACAGAGCAGCACTACAAAACCAGCTTCCTGAGTGTGAGATCACCAAACATCTCATTAGTTAAGCTGGTCTCCTGCTACCATCATGCCCTTCCTACACACTGGCATAACTTCAGTTGTGCTCGTAGTACTGTTGAACTCCTCTTAACTGCCTTTTTCTTGGGCTTCCCTTTCTCTTTTGTTACCAGTTCTCACAGTAAAGTTGGTTTTCTTTGAGGTCTTTGATCTTCTACTCTTCTAATCTCCTTTGTCTTCGAGCATTTTTAAAAAACTCCAATGATAAGCAATAGATGGGTTTTTTTCCTCCATTTTGTAAGAAATATGAATTGCATCTCATATCCTCAGGCCTCAAGTTAACTTTTAAATTTTGCTTTACAATTTATGGTTACAGGAAACTGTAAGGAGTCTCCAAATTGCGTTTTTGTGTTTCCTTCCCCACTTTGCTCCAGAAGTTTGCCTTTCTTGCCTTCTTTTCCTCTTCCACACCACCCCTTTTCCACATGTAGTCACCATCACTCCCAGTAACAAGGCAGTTTATAAACCTAGGACTTTGGCTCCGTCCTTTATTAGGAATCAGGATTACGCAAACTTTCTCAGGCCATACGTGTTTGCTAAGACCTGCATTGCATTAGGCAATGGCTTGGCAAGTACCAGCTTGTATGTGGTGCAGAGAATCCTCTCTCCTCACAGCGACTGTGAAACCACGTTGGGCCAAATGGGGCAGACCCATCTTGTTTAGCAAGGCCCAGCACGAACTCTCGAGACTCCGTCCATCCACTGTCAGCTCGAGTTCTTTAAAAAACACCTGAGCCATGTGAATTTCAGAGCCCACAAACAAGCCATGAGCCTTGTAGAGCTGCAGAGTGACACCTCAAAAATGAGTGGGGGTATCAAAAAGCTACAGGGGCACCTGTTTTTTTTTTTGTTTTTGTTTTTGTTTTTGTTTTTTTTGCTTATGTAAAAGCTCATTAGGGCAGCTCCGAGTTACAGTCTTGAGACCTGTGGCTGGTGAATAGAAGAGCCCTTCTGGCTGCAGACATCTCCACTTTCATTCCACCTCACCGGATTAAAAAGAACAAAAGTAAAGTCTCTAGGTCAGTCTGCATTCCTGCCCGTGAAACTTAGAATTAGATAGATAGGTTTCAAAATAGCAAACATCAAGGGAATGCCAAAGCTCTGGTTTTAAATGGGAAGCTTCCAGTAGCTTTTACTAAAGGCAAAGGTTAATGTCTTCCCCTCATTAGTTTTGCCAATGCAAGATTGCAACAAATTATTCTGTGGGAAAGCTGTAGGATGATTTACACTCTTTCCTTGTCCAATAAAGACAAGAAGTGCCGGGATCTGCTGCCAACTTCAGCTCTGCAAGGAAGGTTCCCACCTTAATCAGCATTAGGTGCTCACCAGAAGATACATTGTTCTTTCTTTCAAAATCTTGCTTTTCAGGTTTGAAGATGCTGGCTTTTAAAAATGTGTATCTACGAAACGCTGCATTTCAAGTAACACACTTCAAAAAAAAAAAAAAAAAAAAAAAAGAGGTTAATCTAGATACAGGGGCTGAATTAATGTAACTGCTGGCACCTGTCTTGTGTGTAAGAGATTTCAGTGTATGCACTGAATGATAAGCACTCTATGATAAGATATTTAAGACTTCAGTACTTCATGTAAAGCCTCCTTAGTCAAACTGCCTCTGTCCAAAATGACTTTGATTGCTAGAATTTCTCTCCAATGTCTTCAAGAGACACATGTGCCCATATACACACATGACCTTTCTCCTTTATCCAAAGCAAAAAGGGAGCTCATCTCCCTCTGCTAGCTGCTCCTGTTCCACCTCTGGCACCTTCCTGGAGCCTCTGGCAGGACTGGAGGAATCTGCACAGGCCTTTATAAAAGCATTAGTGTGTCCCTTGATTTGCTACAGCTGATGTTCTCCTGGTGTCCTTCCTGTCAATTTTTATCTATTTCTGGGACACTAATCCTTGAGGCAAAGTTTCTTATATCCATTTATAACTTTAGGGGAATTTTGTTTACTAGAGTGGAAAATGAGATGCCCTTCCCTAAGTACTTTTTAATTAAAATAATAATAAGGTGGCAGAAAGAATGCATTGCAATGTTAATTACACAATACTATATAAAGAGGACTTCTTTTCTTTCTTTTAACCCTATCATGTCTCGTACCCCAAAGCATGAAATAGGATCACTACTTGCATCATTACAAAAGTTACTACAGAACTCATAAAAGTAGATCATGAGTAGGCAGAAGTGTTGAGGTATGAGGTTGGTTAATAATGCGCGGATAATTCACTGCAGAACATGGAAAATTCTGGTGGTGAATGTGTGAGGAATGAAGAAGTCCCAGGTATCCCGGGACCGGGGGCGTGGGTAGAGTTGCCCAGCACTGTGAGACTATGAAATAACTGTTCTGGAGCAAAGTCCACAGCTCTTAGTGTCACGGGATATCTTATGCTTAATTCATGCAAAATATTATTTTATTATGAAAATGGAAGAGGCCCCCAAAAGCCTTGCCATACGGAACCTGCAAATTCATAATGAACCAGACTGCTTAGACCAAGACAAAAAAAGAGGAGCTTAAAACAAAAACCAGGCTTCCCGAATTCAGTTCAAAAGAGAGTTTTTTGCCACACACGACACGTGAATAATATTTTATTTTCAGGAAAACAAGTTTTATGGAATTAAATATAACAACCAAGAGCACAAAGAAGGATGAATTCAAATAATGAAATGTAGTAATATGAATGAAAATCAAATAGCAAATTATTGGACATCTTTTTCAAATTGAGATATTACCTTATCGTTTTGAAAATAAATGTATAGATTATTTTATCTGAAAACATACATATATGTAGGAATTGTCATATCTGGTTTCATTTTCAGCCAAATAAAACTGTCTTTAAAACCAGTAAATGTAAAAGTTATCCTCCCCTCCCCCTATTGTGTTTGTTTCGAAATCTGGAGATTGTAAAAGAGCAGATGATACCCCTGACAGCTGCAACTCCTCCCACACTCATTCCTTAATAAGCTGCGTGCACATTCCCATTCCTACAGAGCTCCACACGGTGTGCT